AGTTAAAGGAAAAAAAAAAAAAGAAAGCAACCCCCTTTCCTTAGGAACACATTTTTCCCAGGCATTAATGTATATTCTCATGGGAATATGCTGGCATGCCCTAGGACTCCCTCTGGTCCAACATCAAGGGAATCCATTTGACCCACGATACGGGAGAACACCACCCCCGCAGGAACGAGAACCCCCCCCCCCCCCCGCAGGACGCTTCAAGTTAGCCGAGGAAGCTGAAGCTCACAGCCTCTCTGGACGTTCCCTCGAGGCTCTAGCTGCAATCCTCCATGCTGTAACTCACTCCATCTCCTTACTCTTTAGTCTCTCCTTTAACCTTTCACATGGAGAAGTCCCTCTAAGTGTCCCTGCAAGGAGGGATGAAGCCGTCACTGTCACTGCCCACTCCCGCACTGCCCTGGTCCATAACCAGCACTTTCCCTCACCCCTATTCTCATCCAGGCCAAGAATGTGGAACCCCTCCCCAGGAGTTCAGGGTTGGCCTGAGGAGGGGGACGTGGTGGCCCCAATCCAGGCTGCCACATCAGGACCTGCTCCTCAGGTCCAGTCCCTCTCTGCTTGGGCTGGCATCCGCAAAGGCCTGGCCCATTGTCCACCTTCCTAATAGTTTTCCTCCCCAAACTTCATCTTGTGCCCTGACTACCATCGGGAGACCTGGGCCAGGCACTGTCACTATGTAGGGTCAGACCTTCTTCATAAGGTAGCGTGAGATGCCAACACAGACCCCGCTCATCACAGGGGATTTTGAGGTTCTCGAATCCAGCACTAAATGTAGGGGATTTGCTGCTCTCATGTTCCAAGTAGAGGCGGGGCTTCAGAGGCAGGGTCTGAGAGTTCCCAGCCACAGTGGGGTGGACCCAGCCACACCGCGGGGGCGAATGAAAGAAGCTGCCAGGGCTGGGGGCCTTTGGGCTGTGTTTGAGTGAAATGACTGGTTATATAATTGAGATTTAAATCGCATGCCAATGAGCACATCTCGGATGAGAGCTGGCCACTTTGGGGAATGGAGAGGGGAAGAGCCATATGGGTTCAAAGAGCATCCACCCCCAGCAGCCGGGGGTGGGGGTGGAGCCTGTAAGGGGATAGATATGAGGTATGTTGCTGGTAGGGGGAGAATCCAAAGGACTCATGCTTAATGACCTCCACCCCCACCCCCTGTCCATCCTGAATTTCAAGTTTATAATTAGGAAACACACTTTGGCTGAAGGGAGCCCGGAGACAGATGCAGATTGAGGGAGAAACGAATGCATCCGGCTAGGCGGAAACACAGGCCAGAGGGGTTTGCAGAGTCCCAGATACCAGCTTCCAGCTCCCACACTGGCTGCAACGCTGGCAAGGAGGGTCCCTAAGTCCTTCAGCCTGGTCAAAAGGTCAAAATGAGAACAGGGCCTCAGCCCAGGCCTTGACCCCAATCTGAACCCCAGGGAACTTCTTCCCAAGCCCAGGGAAGCGATCAGCCTGACAGTGCTCAGCTCTCCAACGGGAGATGCTAGGAGTGGGGAACGCGTGTTGAGGTGGTCCGGAAGGACTGGGCAGCCGGCCTCAGAGGTAAGGGACTGGCTCCAGAGGGGGCTGCGGGCTGGGAGGCCCCTGCTGGCCCCTCCCCAGCCTCAGCAGCTGGCAGATGAAAGAACCCAAGCAAAGCAGCCCAGCGCTGAGTAATGCCCCTGGCACCCCGCGCCCACACCCACCCACGGCCGGCAGGATGGGCAAAGCCGAGAGCAGTACTCGACAGGGCTGGGGGTCCCGCGCCTGTCTCTCTTCCCCAAGTTCCAGGGGGTGCGGCTGACCCGCACCTGGTAGCCTTCCTGGCAGCCGGTCGCTCGGTCGGACTCGGCAGGGAACGAGTGTGGCGCGGGGAGGGGGTGTCTGGTGGCAATGGCCGAGGACGGCCCGCTCCGGGAACCCCCTCCCCCACTCCCTCTCCCTCCAGCTGTGCCGGGGCCTCGCCAACGGAAAACGAAAACTCGGGCAGCGGAAACGGC